TCAGCCTGTACGATGGCCAATTAACATTTTTCTACTGTCTTTCTCCTGCAAAGTCACAAGATGAGCTATTCTCAGACAATCACACCAGAAGTGAGACTTCTATTCTAAAGTTTGTGAAAGCTAGTAGGTATTAATTATTCTGCTTTTAATATTCTTAACCAAGTAGGAGGATATTTCCTCAACGAAAAGAGTGATATGGTAAAATGTTAGGATCATCAAGACTTACAATCCTTGATTTAAAACTAACAATTTTGCATGCATGGGCTTGAATGATACCCATGCAGTCCCACAAATGATTCTTAACGCCTCTACACTTTGTTTGATTCACAGGACCAGTGAGTGCAGACAATAGGGGGTTAGTCTTGGGATGACACCTCCTCCCCACTAGGTTCTGAGGAGCTGACAGTGACATTGATGCCATCGAAGACTTCAAGGAGCTGCTCTGGCAGTTGGAGATGATCTATGTCTCCAGTATAGTGGTTACTTGACAAAGGTAGCAACTCACTACCTGGAATCTGACAAGTCTGAGTTGAGAATTGTTATGTATGTGGATTTCACGCCAACTTTTACAGCCTGGACAGCAAAGACTGTCAGATATCTCATTAAGAAATAAACTACATCTTAAAACTACATCCCACAGTCAAAACTCGGACCCATAATTGTTCCTGTCTGAAAGAACTGCAGGGGTGGAAATGGAGAAGAGGAGAAGAAGGTCCAGTGACAGGCCCAAAGTGGGATCCAGCTCAAGGGGAGGCCCCAAGGCCTGACACTATTACTGAGGCTATGGAGCACTCACAAAAAGGGACCTATCATGACTGTCCTCTGAAAGACCCAACAAGCAGCTGAAAGAGTCGGATTTGTACCCAACCAATGGACAGAAGCTGCTGACTCCTGTGGCTGAATTAGGGGAAAGCTGGAAGAATCTGAGGAGGAGGGTGACCCTGTAGGAGGACAAACAGTTTCAACTAACCTGGACCCCTGAGATCTCTCAGATACTGGACCACCAACCAGGCAGCATACAGCAGCTGATATGAGGCCCCCAACACATACACAGCAGAGGACTGCTGGGTCTGGGTTTAGTCAGAGAAGATGCACCTAACCCTCAAGAGACTGGAGGTCTCAGGGAGTTTAGAGGTCTGGTAGGGTGGGAGCTGGGGGGTAGGGACATCCTTGTGGAGCTGGGGGATGAGGATGTGGAACAGTTAGAGAGTGACTGGGAGGGAAATAAAATCTGGAGTTTTAAATAAATAAATAAATGTTTTAAAAAAGAAAGAAATGGTAGTATTTTAGATACTCTAAGTTAATTATCATTAAAATTAATTTTCCATTCATTTTTACTTTTTAAATGTGACTACTAGAAAATTTAAGCTGAATATGTTGATCTCACCGAGCAATGCCTGTTCTAGAGTCTTGCTACTTGAAGGGTGGTCTTCGAGCCAGCAGCATCTGGACTGTGAATATGAACTCACCGCATCCAGACCTACAGACTCAGAACCCAAATCCCACCAAAATCCTTGTGACTTGAACAGACACGAAAGATTAAGTAGCAGAGCACGCCCTAGGGTCAAGGTTGCCAAGTTTGACTATTAAAATGTAGTCTAGTGGCTATTCCTGGTTGTCAACTTGAGTATATCTGGAATGAACTACGATCCAGAATTGGAGGGCACACCTGTGATTCCGATCTTGAAGCATAGTGGCATAGAAACACAAGTTTCTGACCTGGATCTTGGCATGGAGATCTTGAGGCATATAACTGTGAAAGGCTTAGCTCCAGGCAAGGAGATCTCTGAGTTCAAGGTCAGCCTGGGAAAAAACAAGTCCCAGATCCAGGCATGGTGGGACACAACTTCTGCTGGAGACCTACATATAGACATTGGAAGAAGGAAGATTCGCTCTTCTTTGCTTGCTTGCATTTCCTTGCCAGCACATTTGTTGGAATCTATTTCTACAGATCAGCAGAAACAACTAGCCTTGTGGGACTGAGCAACTACTAGATCCTTGGACTTCCATTCACAGATGACCATTGCTGGGGAGTTGGACTCCAGATTCTAAGTCATCATAACACATTCCTTTACTATATAGAGACTCCCCATAAGTTCTGTGACTCTAGAGAACCCTGACTAATACATGTAGGTTCTCAATTAAGTTTAGTTTTCTGATAATCAATGATTTTTGCATACACCATATCTTTGTGTGGTGCATGCATGCATCTTTCTCTGTCTCTGTCTCTGTCTCTGTCTCTGTCTCTCTCTCTCTCTGTGTGTGCGCGCGCGTGTGTGCTTACCTGCTTGCCTGCCTGCCTGCTTGCCTGCCTGCCTGCTTTCCTGCCTGCCTGCCTGCCTGCCTGCCTGCTTGCTTGCTTGCCTGCCTGCCTGCTTGCCTGCCTGCCTGCTTGCTTGCTTGTCTGCCTGTGGATGGGGTAAGGCAAAGATCAATTCCTATTTCTCAGAGTGATATCCACCTTGATTTTAGACATACTTGAGTTTGGTTTCTTCCTGGCCTGAGACTTAGAGAGTAGCCTAGGCTGGCCAGCAAGCCTTAGCGCCCACAGGCCTCTGTCCAGCACTGAGATGACAGGAGTCAGTCTCTGTGCCCAGCTTTTATGTCCAGGTTCTCAAAATCTAACTGAATCTTCATGCCTATATAGCAAACACTTTGCCAATTGGTTCTTCTCTCCGGTCCAATATACTATGTCTTAAATATTCCACGGGACACACATATTAAATTGACTTCTTTTTCTTGGATTCTAATTTAACTGGATATTGTGCAGTGTGGTGGTTTGAATAGGTACGGTCCCCATAGACTCATGTGTGTGAATGCTTGGTCCAAAGAAAGTGGCACTAATAGGAGGTGTGGCCTTACTGGAGTAGGTGTAGCCTTGTTGGAGGAAGTGTGTCACTGTGGGGGGTGGGCTTTGAGATCTTCCATGCTTAAGCCAAACCCAGTGTGACACACAGTCTCCTGCTGCTGCCTGCAGATCAAGACATAGAACCCAGCTCCTTCTCCAGCACCATGTCTGCCTAGACTCTGCCATGCTACCCACCATGATGATAATGGGCTGAATCTCTGAAACTGTAAGCCAGCTCCAACCAAATGTTTTCCTTTATTAGAGTTGCCTTGGTCATGGTGTCTCTTCACAGCGATAGAACCCAAACTAAGACATATAGCTTATGTGTCCAGATTAAATTCCTGCTCTCCAAACCTGCTTTACTATTTGCAATTCTGTAGAAAAGATCAAGTTGATAAGAGCAGAGACGGTGAGTAGGAGAGGGAACGTGGAAGAAGGTAGAAGTGTGTGTGAGAGGAAGCAGGAATGCGTCAAGGCACGAAAGATGTGTTAAACCATGACGATGAAGATGAAGATGATGATGAAGATGAAGATGATGATGATGACGATGACAACGATGACGACGACAACGATGACAATGACGGCAACGACAGCAAGTGGCCCAGGCTGACCTTGAGCTGACTGTGTGGCCAAGGATGAAGTTGAGCTTGTGGTCTTCTTGCTTCCAGCTCTCAAGTGCTGGAAAACAGATGTGTGCCAGCTCACCCAGCAGATTATTGAGTTATTATCACAACCCTTAATCTTTATTTCTGTATTTTTCCATCTTCTCCATTTATTAAGCTTCATTTTCCTTTTGATGTTTTCTGAAGGGTGTCTGGTGCCATGTGAGGAAGTGCACAAAGAAGAGAAGAATGTCACCAACAAGTCCCCAGCTTCCCTAAAATCTGTTACCTCCCCCCAAATTCACTTAAAAACAGTCCTTCCCAGGATGGAGAAGTGGCTCAGTGGTTAACAGCTCTGCCTGCTCTTCCAGAGGATCCAGGTTGGATTCCCAGTGCCCACATGGTAGCTAAGAACCATCTGTAAGTCCTGCTTCGGGGGGGATCCAAGGCCCTCTTCTGCCCTCTGAGGGCACTGTACATATGCACTGCAGAGTCAAATATGCGGGTAAAACACTCATGCCCATAACGTAATAATTAAAAAAAATTAAAGATAGCCCCTGTCAACTACCAGTACTTCCCCATTAGAAGTGTCAAGGTCCTGAAGTAACAAAAATGTCTGTGCTTCGTTTTGAAAGACTTTCAGTATTATGACATTTTATTATGTGTGTTTTAAATATAAACCCTTTTTGGATTTTGTTTCATAGCTTTTTTGGGGAGTAATAACAGTCGCTGTTTATTTACCAGAGGCAAGAGGCCATTTTGCTATTTCATCTTCACCAGAATCCTTGTTTTTTTTTCCAGTATATAACAGCAAAGAAAATACTGGGCTTTTTCTAATATCTTCCAGTACATGCATCACTGTCCTGTGCTCGTACTCCTCCTCTTCCCCTCTGAGGCAATTCTTTAAAGTGCTCCTGCAGGGTATGGGGCTGTGGGGGTGTGGGGGTGTGTAGGGTGTGTGTGTTCTGCTGATAACCTTCACAGAAGGAAGAACTTACCTGGCTGTTACAATAGAAGCTCTCAAAGCCATCCCACTGGGCATGGCTTTAGCAGCTCCCGACTCCCAGAGGTCCTGACTATCCCTCTCAAAACCTCTGGGTAGATGGAAAGTTCACATTCAACAAAGAACTGTGACCTAGGACACGTGTGGAAATATAGGTAAGTTCTAAAGAATGTTTTATCAACTGGTTCACCTTAAAAATGTCTGGAAAAATAAATACTTTGTAGATTTGAGAGCGAATATAATCATTTCCTGAAAAGCAGTGTGAGAACCTTCGTAAAGTGTGTGCAGCAGTCACACAACAGGGCGACTTCCCATGAAGGGCTCACTAGCGATGTATTTTCTCTAAAACCTCCTCCCTAATGATGATTTAATGCAATGAATAATTGAAAAGCTAAATGCTGGGTTAACTTTGTGCTCCAGATTGAGCATTGTCAGGTCTCGCCCTCCTTCTACACCCCCCCCCCACCCACCCACATAGTGCATCCTGGAAAAGCTATCTTTTTATTGGCTGCAGGTGCTGTCAGTCACTTGGCAAGAACAGTCCAGCCTCTGCTCTGCTTGCTCTACGAATTGACAGATGTGCTTGGCTTGAAGAAGCATACATTTCTTGATGGGAAGAAAACTCTTGTTTAGTTTCTCACTTTTGTTCTTATGTATGGTGTTTTCAGTCAGTTTGGATCAGATACTTGCCAGGAAGAATGTAGGGTGAGTAACGGCCCATCCTTTAATGTGATGTGTTTGTGAACCTCAGTGCAAGTGTGACATTAGATGTTCTGTCCTTTCTTTATAGAGTTACATATCTGCATTTGTTTATGGTTGAAAAATATATAAGCTAGGTTATACCATACAGCTAACGACAATATTTATTATACTATACTTTTATTGTAAGAGTCCAGGACTATTGTTCAAAACACTAAGAAACACTGCATTTGAATTAAATATACCACTGCTTAACCGACTCTCAGATCAGACCTGATTCCGGTTTCTTTTATGTTTATAAATAGGGGCTAAGTTCACAGTTTCTCCTGTCATAGTTATTTGAGTGGAGACCTTAGGGATGTATAACCTGAAGGAAACGATGTTAGGTCACCCTGATTGATGGAAGGCGCCGATGGTTTAAGACACAGCCCTTATTAACAAGCACCGTTTTTGTTTTCGCGTCTGTTTTCTTTCTATATCTTACAGAGAAAGGAGTACATACTTATCTCTAAAATATTATATTTAGAACTCAACTGCAGCTACCGTATGTCTTGTTCCCCAATTATTCCTGATGTGCCATCTCACCAAATGCACTGGGGACATTCGTGTGAACACAGAGCCCAGCAGCAAGCAGGGTGAGCTGGCAAAGAACTCCTAAGTCAGCAGCTGATAACAGCTACAAGAATAGGCACTCAAAATGTTCTCTTCTTTTTCCCCCTGACATCAATTGGTGCTTTCATTGAAGCTTACGTTTAGATAGGACATGGCTTAAATGTCTCAGATGGTTAAATGTTACCTGCTTTTGTTTGGGACAGGTCTCGTGTAGCCAGTGGTGGCCTTGAACTTCTGACCTCCTATCTCACTTCCAAGGTCTAGGATTAAAAGCATGTATTGTCACACCTGGCTTTACAATATCATGGAATCCTGTGCTTTTGTATTTCTCTGCAATTAAATTTAGGGACTCATGAATGCTAAGAAAGTGCTCTATCACTGAGTCTATAAAACATACTCCACCAAGTTTATATAGAAATGAGTGGCTTTTGTATTATATTGGCAAAAAAATGTCAAAATTTAAAAAATTAAATTCTGCTTTTATTAAGGATATATATGTATATATATAATTTTATTATATATATATATATATATATATATATATAAAATTTTCAGGAGCATCATAGATCTTAGAATTTATACAAACAGCTGTACTCTTCATGATAGCTGCAAAAACCTAGATGTTACTAACTAGTACTTATGGAAAATGTGGTGCATATACACAGTGAAATTTTACTTAGTCCTAAAGAAAAAAATTATGGCATTTGCAAGAAAATGGGTGTAACTGAACTATCAGGTAGCATCTCTGACTTAGAAACAGAAATACAGCGCGTTCTCTCTCTTAGTCAGATCCTAGATTTTAATATAAGTGTGGGAGAACCGAGCAGTGTAGGTCATGAAACCAGAAAAGGGACCACGAGAGGAAAAAGAGAGATCTTAAGGAAGGGCTGGGGAGGAGTACACAGATGAGGTGGTGAATACATGTGTCCTAGAGAGGAAGGGGCTTCAGGGAAGGAAGAGGAGATGGGGTTGGGGGATGGGAGTGGGGGGGAAGCACAGAGGGGGTAGGAGGGGGAGAGGCACAGAAGATCAGTGGAAGCAAATTATGAATGACAATCCAAGAATGAAACCCATTGTTCTGTGTGATAATTTAAACATTAACAAAACGTAAGTTAAGTCATATAGATGACCATCCTAATCTAGTAATTCATGCTAACTCACTGTGAAGGAAGCAGTAATTCTGATTTTGTAAATGTTCTTTCAAATTGTGGATCTGAAGTGAAGAGTATCTTTAAACTGTGTAGGGCTATCCCTAGGAGAGATGACAGCAGGTTAACATGATACATGTTTCCTAAGCTGAAGAGAGGTGTGGGGAAGGCTGAGGCATGAGATAGCTCTGTGGGTAAGAGCATTCTTTTTTTTTTTTTTTTTTTTTTTTGGTTTTTCAAGACAGGGTTTCTCATCCCAGTACTTTGGAGGTGGATTTCTGAGTTTGAGGCCAGACTGGTCTACAGAGTGAGTTCCAGGACAGCCAGGGCTATACAGAGAAACCCTGTCTCAAAAAACCAAAAAAAAAAAAAAAAAAGACATAAAGGGTAAGAGCATTCTTGCAGCGTAGTGAAGTCTGTTCAAACCATGTTTGAGACAGAGTCTCTTCATTGATCTGGAACTTGCTAATTCAGCTGAGCTGGCTAGCCACTGAGTCCCAGGGGTTCTCTTGTGCCTGCCTCTCATGATTCTGTGTCCAGACATGATTTCGTGTCCAGCTTTTGACATGGGTTCTGGGAACTGAACTCAGGTCCACATGCTTCCCAGATGAGTTATCTCCCCAGGTCCATAGCCACTTGAAAATATTTTTGTTAGGTTATATTAATTATACATACAAGGTTTTATTATGATGTCTAGCCATTTAGAACTATATCTTGGGAAAGGGTTTCACTAAGTTGCTCAAGCTGGCTTTGAATACCCTATGTAGACTCAGAAGACCGTGAGCTTTTGATTCTCCTGCTTTAGGTTCTTGAATAGCTGACACTGCAGGCCTGGGCTACTAGGCCAAGCTAGGCTTAGTTATTTACACCAGTGGTTCTCAACCTATTCACATAGACAGATGTGAGCAGCTATTACTTTTTCATGTCATTCAGATCCTACTTAAGGATACATATTTTGTTTTGGTTGAGATCAAATTTCCAACAAAATCTCACTTGTTCAAGCTTAGGGTTCTGTGTAAAGTCTGTCTGCACTGATGTATATTGATCAAGAATGACATTGTTGAGGCTGGAGAGATGGCACAGAGGTTAAAAGTGCTGACTGTGTGTTCTTCCAAAGATCCTGAGTTCAATTCCCAGCAACTACATGGTCACTTACAACCATCTATTGTGAGATCTGGTGCCCTCTTCTGGCCTGCAGGTATATATGCAGGCAGAATGCTGTATACATAATAAATAAACAAATAAATAAATAAATTAATCTTGTAAAAACATGGCATTATTGTATGATTTGACCAGAGATGCATTAAATGGCAGTGAACTTTTTTGTTAATTAATTAATTAATAAATAAACACATTAAAACAAGAAACACAATAAAGCCCTTCATTAATGAACATATGGAAAATTTTGAGTAATAGACCTAAGCCTCAAACAGATGAAGCAGTTTGATGGTATTATGGCTTGTTCATTCATTCATTAAAAAACTTATATTCAACAAATATTCAGTAAGTTCTTCCATAAGCTAGAAGTTCCAAATTGACTCTGTACATTTTATTTTTCCTAGGTAAAATCTACTTCATCAATTCTATGGTTTTGTTACTGAAGACACTTAAAAATTGAATATATAAGTTGGTATTATGATATATAGCTTGTGAATAACATGTAAACTGAAGAAAAATTTAAAATTTTTCTGTGTGTATGAGAAGACTTTGGCTCTCCAGAAAGTGTTTTCTGCTTGTTAGCGCTTCTTTCATGTAGTCAGCAATGTTTCAACTCACAGGGGAGGATTTAGAGGTTGGTTAGGTAGAGATATTTTGCATAAGATACACATTGCTCAGGAAATTAAATTTCTTAGTGCTCCCAAGTTCACAAAGATAAGATTGGCCTCAGAGGACTGACTCATGCCAACCTTATTCACGAGGGACTTAGTGTAAACAGACTAGGCTGTGTGTGGCTAAGTGGCAGACCACATGCCAGGCACGAATGAAACCCTAGGTTCATTCCTCAGCACTGAAAAAAAAAAACAAATAAAATATATTCTACACGAATTGGTACATGTGAAAGCTCTTAAATATTTGCTTGTAAAGTCCCAAGCTACAAATACCACATATGCCTGTAAATGTCAAAGTGTGTACAGACAGATGAAATGTATTGTATGTGTGTATATATACATATACAACGTATATACATATATATGTATATATACATACAACACACATACGTATATATATGCAGTGAGGTATTTCCTAGCAATTAATTACAATAAAACACTGATAGATGGAACAGTGTTCATAAATTTCAAAGTTAAGATTAAGAGAAACCAAATACTAAGGAATAATGTTATGTGACTATTTACAATTCTGTAAAATGAAAACTCATATAAAATGAAAGGCAGTCTATGTGTTTGGGATGAAAGTTGGAGGTTGATGGTCACATGGTAGCAGTGCTTGGAGAACCTCTGTCAGTGGCATTAATATTCTTTGCCTCTGTGCTAGCTATAATGTCATGGTTGTGCTCCTGGGCCAAAACACGTGGTGTTGACCACATTACATGGACACAATTCACTGTACAAAATTACACTTGAAAGCTGTCCATAACAATGAGCAAACTGTTGCATGCATGTGTCAGGATCAACTGCTAGACACTTTCTCAATGTTGTCACCTGTAGACACTTTCACTAGATAATTTAGAATACTGTATTTAATTTGCAACCAGTTCTAGTTAATTATGTATGAAGAAAGATTGGCCGTGACATTAAGGCTGAATGGGGGGTTGGGGTATGTGGGGAAGATTTTGTGTTTTGGCTTGTATTTTAAAAACGATTTATTTTATTTTAAATCATTGGAATATGTGTGTGGTATATGCCACCTGTGCATGGGTCCTCAAGGAGGCCAGAGGCATCAGATCTCTTTGGAGCTCGGGTTACAGGAAGTCGTGAGCCTCCTGATGTGGGTTTTAGGACTAGAACCTGGGTCTTTTGAAAGTGTAATACATGTTCACTGAGCCACTCTCTGAACCCCTGTATTGCATGTTTTTTAGTGTTTGGAATATATGACAAAACATTTCTGTATCTCCAATCCTAACAATTTTACTTTAGGAATTCATGTTAAAGAGCTTCACAATAAAGAGCCATCCACTGTAATGTCCTGAGCAGTGGCCCTCAACCCTTATCGCTGTGGCCCTTTACTACAGTTCCTCATGTTGTGGGAACCCCAACCATAAAGTTATTTTGTTGTTGCTTCATAACCATAATTTTGCTACTGTTATGAATTGTAATGTAAATATCTGATATGCAGGATATCTGTCATGTGACCCCCAAATGGGTGTTGATCTGCATGTTGAGAACCACTGTCCTAGAATGTCAGAACACTGGGAAGAGTTTGTGTTAGTGAGCTGTTTGTTACTATAAGGAGCTACTCTACCCATGCTATCTTGAAAACAAAAAGAGCTTATTTATCTTATAGGAAAGGGGCTTATTCCTCTTATGGATTTGGAAGTTCAAGGGCAAGAATCCTGAGTTGGCACAGACCTGGTGAGGGTCATGGCTGATGGCAGATGGTGAGATGATGTGTATCTTGGGAACAAGGAAGCGCATCTTCAGCAAGGAAATGGAGAACAGGAGGGCAACTCTTGCTCTTTTTATAACAATGTTCTCAAAAGAATTACTGAGGGTTGTAGGAGAATCACCACTAGGCTGCGTAAGAACCACCACACACTAAGGACATCTTCTTCACCCACCTGCCACCACCTGTCTGCCCAGCCTATGGTCATCGGGAACTTTTGGAGGACATTTAAACCACACCATAAACATGTGAGACTAGGAACATGGCTGAAGACATCATGGTATGTTTTTATGATGTAATACTGCCTGAAACTCATTGTGTCAAAACATATATGACGGCATAGGTAAATATTTGTGATACATACTGAAGTCCAAACATTGCACACTGAAAAACAAGATGTTCTCAATATATTTTTAAGTTTTGTAAATTTCCATTTTATAGACAGTGGCTAAGACAGGGTGTGTTGAGATGCCTAAGAGAGTGCAGATAGAGAAGAGGTCTGAGGAGAATTCCCCGGGGCATTCCATGAAACGTAAATTCTGTGGTATAATATGTTATTATGAGTATAGATGTAGAGTAAAAGGCTATCAATCATAATTTCTATTTTCATACTTTTCAGAATTATCTTTTTGGCAATTAAATTTGCCTTTTTTTTTTTTCTAAGACAGGGTTTCACTGTATAGCCGTGGCTGCCCTGGAACTCACTCTGTTGACCAGGCTGACCTCCAGATCTGTCTGCCTCTGCTTCCCTAGTGCTGGGATGAAAGGCATGTACCACCACTAGTGGCTAAATTTGCCTTTTAAAAATAAAATTGAACATTGAATATATTGGCTATTATATAGTAATGGCGGAGTGTGAGATAAAATTTCATTGAAAAATAATTTATTGCATATTATTATGTTTTCATTATTGGTTAAAGCTTGGTAGACAGCTCACTGCTTGGTATGCATGTTGGCTGTCTGTAATCTCCAGTGAGTAATTGATCCATAAAAGCAGAACATTTTCAGAAATTTCTGTATTTTCTATATTTTGTCTGGAGAGGATGTGTCGTAATTAAATCAGAAATCCATGGCTAAAAATATTGCACTCTGAGCGGCCACAGTGTGGCTCCTGGCCAGATGGACACAGCTGAGACAGCTCCTCAGAACTTCCTGTGAAGCCTCAACTGCAGTTGTTTGCTTTGCGTTTAATACTCTATTTCTAATTTCAGTTCTCAGGCGTCTTCCAGTAAAGAAGTGATTGTACGGAACGGTAAGACTTGGGCTTGACCTTCTGGTTTCCTAGGGGCAGGGATAAAGAAAGGCCTTTTCGAGGTACATTTCCCTTACTTGTGTTGTTTGTACCTAGAATTCCTCCTGGAAAAAAACCTTTTAAACTAGCGCATCTTTAATGACAAGCAAAACCAGGCACAAACAGGATATAGTCCAATGGTTGGTTCATTAGCATCATTCACTCATGTTGACAAACCGGTAGCATCCAGCCTTGGTGCTTACATCATTATTTATGCGACAGGTCAAAGGAACAGTGGAGAGGTGAAACCAGCCCAGAATGTCACAACGATACCCAGCTCACAGGTATGGCTGTTGGCACATTAAACTTTAACGTAAGTAACACTCAGGCCTTTCAATGCTCTCAGATATACTCTGGATATATACACAATAGTTGTGTTAACTATTAATACAATCTTATTTGAACTCTGGGTAGCTGAGAAGATCATACAGTCTTTTTTTTTCTTCTTTTTTCTTTTTCTTCTTTTTTTCTTTTTTCAGTCTTTTTCTAAATATATATTTTTATTGTGTCATTTCCTTTTGATTTGTTTTATTTTCTTTTTTTTATTATTATTTTTTATTGTATATTTTATTTATTTACAATACAGATGTCATCCCCTTTCCCCATTTCCCCTCCCTAGAACCCCCTATCCCATCCCCCCTCCTCCTTTATGCTTTTATACCACTTTGATTACATGCATGCATTAAGGTCAGTTCTAGGTAGAGTGTCTAGCAATACAATAGATGCAAATAGTCAAGGAACAAACAATACAATAAACACAAATAGTCAGAGAAAAAGCAAGACATTAAACCCAATTATGAGAACACTGCAGTGGTCACTGTTTCTAACAGCTTATCAGAATTACCAAAGTATCCGAGCCTACTTCTCTGTCCTAGCCCAAGGTCATTTTCAGGTCTGAAGCCTACTTCCTTGTTCTAGCCTAAAATTTAGATTCTTATCTGAAATCACTTCTTTGTTCTAGCCTAATATTTAGATTCCTGCCTAAGATTACTGAGAAAACCATACAGTCTTAATTGTACTTACCCTCTCGTGTTTTCCCCAAGTGTTCAGTTTTCTGGTTTTCCCACAGGGGCTGCAGCAAGTGCTTCTGTTATTCCCGGGGAACTTACTGCTCTCTCCTGTTCCTCTCTCATTTGCATTTACCTCAGAATAACTGCTCCAGTCTTTGTGTTGTGTTTTAAGTAAATATATAACAACATGTACCCATTATTACAGGATATGAATTAACCTTAATATCTGTTGGAAGACTTTTATCCCAAGGACACACATTTGTCTCTTAAATTTCTTTTATTTGGTTAATCAGATTTTCAACTATAGTCTGAGCAAAAACCACTGGAGTACATTCAGCCATCACAACCCTGTTACGTTCTCCAGGGATGGGATTCCCTGCATCCTCTTCTGGACTAAAAGAATCACAGTTAAATTTAAGAATCAGACGTGGCTAGACCTCACGGATGAAGCACTTGGTCAAAATACCACCGTGGACACTGGCAACTCTAACTGCAGTGAGGAAAGTGCCACGTAAGTTAGTCTTCCAGGTTGAGAAAGACTTAGAGGTTCTGCATAAATCCAGCATGACAAGCCAGTTTGTTTTCTCTTGTCATCTAAACTAAAAAACAAGTCACAAATTAACAATATTTCATTATTTTTACAAGAATTTCGTACAACTTGCTTTGATTGTATTCACCCCCAACTCTTCCCAGACCCCCCTCTAACCACCCACCTACCTAACCAACCACTGAATTTTGTGCCATTTTCTTTTTTTTTAACCCCAAAGCAAATTTTGTCTGTCCAAATATTTCTGCATGTGAATTCTGCTGGAGAGTGTTTGATTAGTCTTATTTCTGTAGGTTTTAAAAGTAAAAGTCTCTAACTCATTCTAAAAAGGAAGAAAAAAGGAAGGAAGGAAAGAAGGAAGGAAGGGTCTTAGGGTTTCCGTTGCTGTGAAGAGACACTATGACCAAGACAAGTCTAATAAAGGAAAACATTTGATTGGGGCTGGCTTACAGTTTCAGAGGTTCAGTCCATTATCATCATGGCAGGAAGCATGGCAGCCCCCAGGCAGACATGGTGCTGGAGAAGCTGAAGAAGCCAATAGTTCTATATTTTGATCCAAAGGTAGCCAGAAGGAGAGTCTCTTCCCCAGGCATCCAGGAGGAGGGTCTCTTCCACACGGGGTAGAGCTTGAGCACTAGCAGACTGCCAACCCCACACCCACAGTAGCCGACTTCCTTAAACAAGGCCACACCTCCTAATAGTGCCACTTTTCATGGGCCAAGCACATTCAAACCACCACAGGAAGGAAGGAGAGAAAAGTTTGTTTATGAGCATGTCCATATTTAGAAGGAAGTTTGATAACATATCAATCTAATTAAACAATAATACTAAAATATCCAGTAGGCCTATGATATCCCCAGTCTTGGATTATTGGCTGGCTTTACAATACCAGACGTGGGTACCTCCTCCCATGCGCCTACTCCAAATCAAAGGGTCGTTAGTTTACATTCACAGTACTCATGCCGTTATTGAACAGGGAGGCACGTCTTGCCCATCAGGTTGGTGTTTTGGTTGCAGGGTTCACAACTAGGCCAGACTGAGGAAACTTTTACGTCCTGAGCAGTCAGAGGATGCCCTTCTGTACTTTTGAAAGCCAGTCAGCAGGGAGGTTTCTGGCTAGGTTCTAGCTTGCTCTCTTTGTATCGTACAGTGGAGGTGTGTGATATCTTCTGCAATGTACACTTGTTCTCTAGTTCTGATAGGCAACCAAGAACACTGACAATAGCCTGTATTGTTTTTGGAGGAAGAATAAAGGAAAGAAGGATGAAAAAAAGGGAGGAAGGAAGGGAAAAAAGTTTATTTTCAGGCTTGGTCTCAACTCCAAATGTTAAGCACCCTGCTCTTACTATGAAATGAACTTAGCATAGCAGGGTGCACATGTTTTAGTGGTTGACTCAGAAAAGCCCATTTACTCAGGACTAGGTGTTGTGTTTGGTCATAGGGAGAGATTCTCAAATTATCCAACATGGTCAGTTCTACAGTTTGTTCCAGAAGAGGACAATTGATCAAATTTCAGAGACTCATTCTTTGAGCACTTGAGGGTGAACAGATGGATTAGCATTGGTTTGAGATAAGCAGATTGAGTAAATGTCCCCATTGAGAGAAGATCACTTCAGAAATCTTTCTCTGCTACTCAGGCATCCAAATCTTTTGATTGTTTGATTTTTTTGTTTGTGCTTTTCTGTTACTTGTTTTGGTCCAGGAAGAGGAAACCTGAGCTGTTCCATTTGTGTTCCACAAACCTCATTTAATATTTGTTAGTACAGCGGGTGCCTTTGGAAGATTCTGTGCTCTTGTTCTGGCCTGTGATGGTTAGGGTACGTTGCATGAACTGTAACATATTATGTATGTTCTCCCGTGTGCTTTCTTTTTATACTTTATACAGTATGGCTGGAATTGCAAGCTTATTTACGACTTTTGTTTCTTCTCTTAAAGTTCTTGATGATGGGTGGAAATGGATTATTTTTATATTTGTATAAAGGATATTAGGCATCTCCATGTCTTATCCTTCAGAATGACTTGTCTCGTAATAGAGACTTAAGGACTTATAATAACTACAAGATTTAGGGAACTGTTAAGAATTCATCTACGTTTATTTCACTTGTTACAACAAAACCATCAAGGGTCACAGAAGAGAAGCCCAAACTGTCGAGGTCTCAGGACTTTTTTTCCCAGGCTCTAATTAATTCTCTGTAGGGCTCTTTATTTGTGGTCAGTTGTGCGGAGAGAGGCTGATGGCCTGGGGATAAGCATGCTTGGCTAGAGCTGGCTGGTGTGCCTCCATCCCAGTTATCCTGACATTAGGGGGTTGTGGGAAGAATCAGGCAGCACAGCTCTTGATTGGGCTATGGAGACTTTAGTCACCAGTGGAAACTAGGCCTGGAAAGAAAAACAAGACGTGTCTTGCAGGTCCAGTTCTGCCAGAAAGATGTGTGCCGTTAGGTCCCGTGGGCGTGTCACACGTCAGATGGAGATGGTGGTAACTTTTCACTGTAGTTGACAGCCGTTGTGCACTTACTACAGGCCAGGGATGGTGAGGTTTCCATGTCTGGTGATCATCACAGTGGTTCTCCGATAGGTCATAAGGAGTCAGGCTGAACAAGGCTAGGAAACTTACTGGAGTTCCACTGGGATTCTAAAGTGTCTTTAAAACGATTCGTTCCCAACTTCCTCTTGGTCTTGCCTCATAGGATTAAACAGATGAAAAAATCCCAAGTATAGACTTTAGAGAACTTGTCAGGTACTGTTCAAAGCAGTGGTCCTTTCTCCTTAATACTAACAACAAGCCCAATGGACAATTACCTAACCATCCGCTGGAGAGGCCATGGGGCTTTCTGCTTGATTTAAAATAAAATTTAAGATTACTTTACGTTTTTATTTATATGACAGTATCTCTCTGTGTGCAGATGTGTGTTCAGGTGCTTGCAGAGGTGACAAGGGCATGCTGGATCCCCTGAGGGCTGGAGTTATAACCTGCTGTTAGCCACGTGACCTGGGTGCTGGGAACTGAACTCAAATCCTTTGGAAGAGCATCAGGCACTCTCTCTGAACTGAGGAGTCCTTTCTCCAGCCACGTGTCTTAGTTTTTGCAGTGCATAAGTCAGATATTGGGTAGGCACTGATATTTTATCTTCCTTAGTCACCACCCTAGAAATACACTCAGGTATGAGCCTTGGGTGGGCAGACCCCATCTCCTGTAGTCCGGCTCATGTGAGTATACAGGCAGCCTGGGTGTACCTACATCCAGAGAGTAGGCCAGGGTCTTCTTCCCAGGAAGTGAGGGGTTTTAGTTCCAGCTTGTAAGACCTTTGGATTCTGACTCCTGTGAGTTCAGTAAAATGAGCTGCCTTTGCTGTGCCAGTGAGGGAACCCTTGTGTCTGACAGAACCAGGGTAGGAGTTGCCGAAAGAACAAACAAACACAAGTGAAGACATAACCATGTAAGGTCAAAAGCCCAGATTGAAAAAAGATGACCATGTTTTAGCTTTTGGAAACAAAATGTTCAGGGAGAGGCAAATTTGGCAGACAGATTTGCTGTGGAAGTCTTTCTAAATAGTGAAAACCCTGCAGATAGAATACAATCCCAGCATCTGTGTGCATTTTGAGGTTGGACATTTATAGTGCAAAGAATTCAGAATCTGTTTAAAATGTGTAAGAACTGGGCACCGGGTGAGATATTTTTTCCTACTCTTGCTCTGGGTTGTATCCATTTTTTGTGTTCCTGGTTAGCTGTAAGGCATCTGGACCTAAAACATCCTCACTGACCAAATGGTGAATCAGCTATGTGGGGATCGGGCCTTAGGCTCTTTGCTCCAAAGCATGGCGTGCTGAGCTTCGATGAGAACCAAGCCCACTGGGCAGAAACCCCTGCTGGGTTGTTTCTGGGAGCTCACCTCTCCAGGCAATGGATGGCTTGGAATGGCTTTGCACTGAGGTTTAGTTCGTCAAAACACCACCAGGGAAGGGATCTCTTGAAGCTTTGCTTAGTAAAGAAGCTTCGAAAGTGTTTGCAAACAGACACACCAAAGGGGTGCAAGTTTATCCTGTTAGAGAAACAAACATTTCCTTTATCAGTCTTAGTTGTATGATTTCCTTTTGGTCACCACAAGCCTTCTCCATAAAACTGATGTTTCTGTTCCTCGGAAGAAGATCAAGCTGGTGATGTCATAGTATGCTGACTTCTATTCCCCACACTATTTGATTTTGCTCTCTTTGGTTTTTGAAGGCACACTAAGGTGTTCTGACCTTTATTTTACTTCTTAGATATCTTATTGATATAGCAGTAGCCTTCTTTGATATGTATTTTTCTTTGTATTTTCCATTATAACCACTTGCTTATCATTCTTATATTTCTAACCTTATGGAAATATAGTGAAGAATAATAACTTGCACATAGTCAAGTGTATCATGCAATCACTTGACATATACAGATGTACACATGTAATACCATCACCACAAACAAGACCACAAGCACTTTCATCTAAACACATTCATGTCTAAAATGTTTGTTGCCCATTGTAATCCATCATCTGAGTCACTCCTACCTCTCGACAGAAGCATTGCTATTTCTATAGCCATAAAGTACATTCTCCTTTTTGGTGTGGCTTCTTTCACTTAACGTAGTGACTTAAGTAATCTTCTGTTATCAGTGCAAACCTCTTTTTCATTGCTAAGTAATATTCCAATGCATAGCTATATGACAACCTAATTATCTGTTGATCCATTGATGATAGAACTTTGCTACTCTCATTTAGGGAACTTTTTAGATAGTTATGAACATTCTTGCACAAGTCATTGTGGCAGAATGTGTTTTTGTAGTTATTTTTTCCATGAAGGAGTAGAAAGGTAAAATCATATCATACAGGCATAATTACAGTCCATGAAACTGGTAAATTTTAATTTTAAAAACTTTTAAGTCCTTTTGGGTCATACACTGCAGCCAGGCTAGCTTAGAATGTACTTCACAGTGTAGTGTGGCCTTAAGCTCATGACAATACTGCTGCCTCAGTTTCCCCAGTGATGGTATTACAGGAGTGCAACATCATATCTGGCTCCAAACTTTAAAAAAGTGATCCCTGATTTTGAGACAGGGTCTCTTGTATTCAAAACTGATTTCAGATTTGCTGTGTAGTTGAGGCTGGCCTTGAACACCTGACCATTTTGCCTCTACTTTCTGCATGGGTGAACACCACTAGCCCATTCTGCCTTTCCCAGGATTACCCACTTGCCTCGTGTCCTCATCAGTGTGAAACTGAGAAGAAATTTTTTTTTCTATAAGTTTCTGTGAGGTTAATACTTTTTGAAAAAAATTGGGCTTTTTTTTTTTTTTTCTGAAAAAAATCTGGCCTTGGGCTAAAGGACAAGGTCTGGAGTTAGTAACACGGTTACGTCCTTAGGGCAATGTGTCTGCACCACAAAGGGCCCGAGAGCCAAAGAGACACATCTTCCTGCTGGAGACATAATCTAGAAGCACAGCCATTCATGTCCTCCATGGTAAGCCAGCTGCTTCTGTCCAGAGGCTGATTAACCTTCTTCCACTTACCTCCCGGATAGCAGCCCACGGTCTCCTCTCTCTCTCCCCAAGGAGAGTCTGTCAACACTAAGTGACCAGATGCTTTCCTGTCATATTCAGGAGGTGAGGAAAAGCCACCGACTCCCCACATGAACTCTGGACTCCTGACTTCCGCTACAAACCCCAGATCCCAGTAAGGGTGGAATGAGGCCTGGTTCTCATCATGCTACCCAGGGGGTGGGCCGTGCCAAGAGAACTGATAGTGTTGCTGCCGAGTGAATGGTTAATCTGATTCAGGAAAGCTAGTATTTACCTTCAGAAAAGGGTGCACAAATACAGGTTCTCAAAGCTGTGAGCTCCCCTCGTAAGACGTTTTAATCATTCTATTTGTTGTTCTAGGGTGTGTAAATTTGTTTTTATTTTATGATTAACTAATGCCCAATGATGCTGAGCATATTTAAAATTATTATTATTATTTTCTTTTCGAGATAGGGTTTCTCTGTGTAGCCCTGGCTATCCTGGAACTCACTTGGTAGACCAGGCTGGCCTTGAACTCAGAAATCTGCCTGTCTCTGCCTCTCAAGTGCTGGGATTAAAGCTGTGCACCACCACTGCCCAAATTTTATTATTTTTGACTCCTTCCCTCCCTCCGTCCCCCCCCCCCCCCCCCCCCCCTCGGCCCCCCCCCCACACACACACACTGTCTATGTGTGCGTGTGTGTACATGAGAGTAAATGCCCTCGGAGACCAGAGGTGTCAGATCCCTGGAGCTGGGGCAATGAGTACCTGCGAGCCTTGGTTTAGGACTCCCTTGGCGCTGTCAGTGCTGACATCGCAGGCATGTGCCACCAGGCAGAGCTCTGTTCCGGTTTCTTTCTCTTTTTTTCATTTTTGTATATTTTACTTGATTTTAATTTTTGTTTTCTTAATGGGTCCATTTGAGAAGTAAAACTTTTTATTGTAATAAAAATCTAGTTTATCATCATGCTTTATGGCTCATGTATTACCTACCCAACGTTGTATAAATAGTCTAGGTTCTGCTATACAATATGGTTTTAGGCATCACATTTAGTTCTACGACCTGTTCTAAGGTATTCTTCTTTTTTTCTGAGTGTCTGTGAGGAGTCAATCATTCCTAATAATAAAGTTTTTGATTACAGTTCTCTCTCTCTCTCTCTCTCTCTCTCTCTCTCTCTCTGTGTATGTGTGTGTGCACGTATGTGCCCACTCATGTGTAGGTGTGCATGTGTGCTCATGGCATAGTGCCTGTGTGGAGGTAAGAAGAGAACTTCTAGGAGACGGTTCTCTCCTTTCACCAGATCTCAGGTTGTTGGGTTTGGTGACAGTTGAGCCATCTTGCAGTCTGAGCCATTCCAATTTTGATGAATGATATTGTTTCCATTTTCTTAGGTTGTCTTTAAAGTTTGGTGATGCTGAAGATCCCAAGGGTATTGACATAAGGTAGGTAGCATTGTAGTTTCAGCAGGCCAGATACACTATGCTCTGCTTAATTTACTCACTCCCCTGTGAGTGTCTGGGGCCAGGTGTGTGCCCATCCTGTGACACTTCAGATTCCATATCTAAGTACACTGAGACGTCAGTGGCCATGTCTGACGGGATCCAGTATGAATAATGCTTTCTACACAACGAAGTCCAAGCATATCTCAGTACTCTGAGAAATCAGCAGGTAGGGGAATCTTGTAGGAATGTTTCATCATCACCATCACCACCATCACCATCATTACCACCACCATCACAATTACCACCACCCATCATCACCATCGCCACCACCATCAACATAATCATTGAATTCTTTTTCTAACCACTACCCAAACACTTGCACTCCTTACTCTCTCCAGTGAGGGGTTTACGAGCACATGAACCTGGGAATGTGGTTCTTTCCCCAGAACAAAGAATAATGGGGAAGAGAGCCCAGTAGGCTTCAGGCTCTGTTTTAAGGTGACTCACTGTAGCTTCCTATGAGAATTGCACTATTAGACTACCGTGAAGAGATCTCTGCTCTCCTAATCCCCCAGTGGACAGTCAATAAAGGCCTCTACTTTTTCTCTGCTTATGACAAAAAGCTGCCTTTATAGATAATGACTTATGTTAGCAGCCAGTAATCAACAGACTTAAAAACAAAAAATGTTCATCTTGTGTTGGGTAGCATGCCCTTTAATCCCAGCATGCTGGAGGCAGAGGCAGGCAGATCTCTGTTAGCTTGAGGCTAGCCTGGTAAACAACAAACTCCAGACAAACTGATGCTACATAGTAGACACTGTTTCAGTTTTTTTCTTCCCATAAAAAATTATAGAATTTTCTCAGCAGTTGGTGATCAAGACATTTGAAGGAATAATTTTTTCACCCACAGTGCACTTGATGTAGGCAGAGAAAGACCTGAGTATGTTCTCATGTTAAAACCTATGTTTAAAAAAGCTGGGTATAGTGGTGCTGCTTACAACCCCAGTACTGGGAAGGTGGGGACAGGTAGACCTGTGGGTCTAACTGGCCATAGAGCACAGTGAGAGCTCTGTCTTAAAAAAAACAAAAAAAAAAAAGAAAAAAGAAAAATTAAAAGAGGTGGGTAGTTCCTGACAAACAACACCTGAGGGTGTTCTCAGGCCTCACGTGAATGCACACGCACACACAGAGCAGGACTTCCTTTCTATAGGATAAACATTTTATTGAGATGAGCATTGTGTCTTCAGCTTTATGTGGAGAACCAGCAGAGAACGCTAAGGCACGTGCTCTCTCCTCTCCTGAGCTCTGTTCTGTGGTACACTTTGGCCATGTAGACATATTTATGAGTCTCCAATAAAAGTTTCTGTATTCAGGCTTGTTTGGGAGTGACTATACACCTTCCTTTCTCTCAGAAACTCACATCATAACTCATTTATTCAAATACCCAAAAAGATATGTTTTTAAGGAAAACTGGCATCTTATAACTAGTAACCCAGTGTATCCCAGGTTTGACTATGAATGGCTTTCTCCCTTAGGACAGCTGCCCTCACACCACAGGATGCTATTGTTTCACAGAACATGATCTAGAACATACATCCTTCAGAGAAACATTTTCCTGGTTGTTAGTGATCAACCTGAGGCTGTGTGCTTGCTAGATAAGCACTCCACCACTAAGCTACACGCCCAGCCCTTCAAAGACTCTTCATGAGGAAACAGTATCCACTAGGTAACCCAACAGATGTGCACATCTGATGTAGAAAGTGAAGCACTTTTAATTTGCAATAGCACTATTCTCCAACTGGAAAATACCCCTGAAAACCCCCCTCCCCTCCCCTCCTCCTCCCCTCCTCCTCTTCCTTCTCACTTTCCTCCCCTTCTTCCTCTCCCTCCTCCTCTTACTCTCCCCCTCCTCTTCTTCTCCCTCCCCTCCCCCTCATTAGGTAGGATAAAGGTGTGTGACATTTGTGTCCATATTCTCTCTGTGTCTTACCACTTGAGGGAGTAGAACTCCCAACTTTCATCTGCCCATCTTCTCTCTCTAAATGCCTTTCTGACCAATGAGGGTAGTACTATGGTTGGATTTTCGTTAACATGACACAAAGCTGGACATAATTGTGCAGAGGGGTGGCCTGTGGGCAAGGCTTCTGGGTATTTTCTTACTTAGTGGTTGATATGGGAGAGTCCAGCCATTGTAGGTGGTGCCACCCCTGGACCGGTGGTCCTGGGTTCTATAGGAAAGGAGGCTGAGCAAGCCATGAGGAGCAAGCCAGTAAACAGCACCCCTCCATGGCCTCTGTATCAGCTCCTGTTACCAGGTTTCCAACTTGTTAGAGTTCTGCCTTGATTTACCTCACTGCTGTGTGGTTATCTGGAAGTTACCTCCCCAAGTTGATTTAAGTAACGATTTTCCTTATCACAGCATTAGGAACCCCAACAGTAAAGCTCATACTCACTATGCTTAGAAGACCAAAACATGAAAAGATGCTTCTAACATGTAACAGAGGGACCCTAGCAAAGGTACCCCAGCAGTCCACGTCCTCTTTCCCCAGACACTGAAGACTATCCTTCAGTTGACTGAGCTTGTAAAATCTGCTGTTCATAAAATTAACTTCTCTTCCTGCTTTCATGATCAAACTTGCTTACTTTGCTCAAAAAGATGACCAGGGCAACTGTAAGGCATGGATATTAAAGTTAGAGCCTGCCCACACAGGCAAACGAATGTAATCTGGCGAGTTTTGCTTTTGTAGACCTTGGCCTGACATGAGTAGGGGCTGCATCTTGGGATCCCTCTCAGGTGCAGTCCTGTCTCCACCCTGGGTGTCGGTACTTAAATGAAAAGGCTCTTGTTATTCGAATGTATTTATGCTCATGGTGAATCTCTAGTGAGTCCAGACCCATCACATGGACAGACAGGGCTGACGGCATCCCATCCTTGTCATGGAAACCGTCAGAACCCCAGCCTCCTCTGCCTCGAATGAGATTGTTCAGAAGTGTTCTTTTTACCTCAATTCCCAGGATTCTCCTTGAGCACAAAATAAAATAAAGAGAACCCACGAAAACAGAAAGTTCAGAAATATTGAGCTATAAGAACAAGAAGATAATTGACAATCCAACTGATTGTCAATTGGAAAATGATTTCCGGTTACTACTGATGTTCTAATCCTACCAGTCTTGAATTTTGTTCTATGTAATGTCTTGCCTTTTAAAGTAAAATTATCACGAGTTAGATATACTTTACTTTTTCATGATTGGAGAATGTTCCACTTTAAAGCCCTTAGTGGTGAGGGTGACGGTCTCAGGTTGAATCTGACTGGCAGCTCAAACACAACATCTGAGAGAATCTGGGGAAGTGGTTTTGTCACCCTGGGCTCAATTCCTCACATGTGGCACTAGGATAACCTTAGAAACCTATTGCTTATTATTGTATGACAATTTAATTCTGTGTAAATATACACCTAAGTTTTTATTAAATTTGATGCTATAATAAATATACAATTTGATTCTTAGAAAAGAAAAAAGGGGGGCCACTTCCCACCCCCCCCCCCCGGAAGATTTTTATATTGCCTTTTCTCCTGTTGCTAATCACTTGCCTTCCCACCAACCTGGCTCTTGTTTGGCTCCAAAGTGAAGCCTCTTCCCGATTCCACAGCCTGACAAAAGAGGGCGCCATTGTACTGTTCACGGATGATGCGGGGCCTGAGACAGAGAAAGCAAAAAAGCGCCAGCTAACACTCATGTGGAATCCTTTTCAGGTTCACCCTAACCAAGTACAACAAGCTGTCCAGCCAGAGTTGGTTTAGTTTACACCGCGTCGAGATAATCTTCAACAATTCGGTGCAAGCAACTTTTAATGCAACCGGTATATATGCTCTGTCAGCTTACTCGTACCGTTGCCAACGCGTCAGCAGCCTGCGGCGGAGTGATGCCCTACTGTTGCTTAGCAGCTCAGATGATGTGACAAGCCTATGGGAAGTCACGTTTATTGATTTCCAGGTAATAATCTAAAACTTATACTTTACACGCCTGCAAACTTGGTGCCAAAAGAAACTCAGTGTTAGTTTAAGTCACCCAAAACAAGACGTTTAAGGAAAAGTGTCCGTGCAGTACTTTTAAGATAGCATTGGTTTATTCTGGATCTTTTGAGGTATGAGATGGAGCAGGATAGAGAACTTCTTCTACCTGAGCCCTCTAGAGCTCTCTTTTACGTCCCTGTTCACACACTCACCAGGTACTTATCTAAACCCTGGTGCAGCTGTGGCTGAAGCCTGGCGACTGACATTTCCCGGGCCCAGAGCTCTGTGAGGAGAGCCCTTCTGGGAAGGAAGCAGCGATCTTATCAGAGCAGATAAGAAGTACATCTGCAGTGTGAAAGGCAGTGTTGACAGTTAGCCTGGGAATGCAATCATCAACCATCAAAAATAGCCCAGAGAACTTGAAAACCTTGTGGGGAAGGCATGCGAGTGTGGCAGGCGCCTTTGCACCCAGCATCCCAGCTGAGAGACTCAAGTCCCTCTATCTTGCTTACCTGTGGCCAGTCTTACTCACTGAAGCAGCACGCATGGCGTTGCACATTCCTTATAAAGGCATGTTCCTGCTTTTTCTGTATTTACATGGGTATGCAGATTCAAGTATGTTTTTCCCAACTTGGAGGAGGTATAGTGTTGATGAAAGGCCAAGGGGAAGATGAGAAGAACACATTTTGGAGTCAGGCAGATCTGATTTTAAAATCACTCCTCTGCCACATGGCTAAGGTACTTACCTGTGTCCATATACTGCCTGTCTTCATCCATGTAGAAAGTACACGGCCTCATAGGTGTGAAACACTCAGGACCATTCCAAGCATGGAGTAACAGTAGCTCTTGTACCAGCATATGCTAATGGTTAAGACAACTTATTTTATATCATGTACATTTTGTGACTGAAATAACAAAACAAAACACTTGGGAAAAGCCCAGGGATGGGGATTTCGAATGAAGGAAAAGAAGAGAGGACCAGAAGATGACTTTGCAGTCACCAGGGATGACTGGTTCACAAACTACCAGGATTAACCTCTGTGCTGGCTGAGCGAGGCACGGTGAAGTTTGCTTTGAAGCTTTGGAGCAGCAGCATGAGGGAGAAGCACCCCAGAGTATACTCACAGGGCCCTGGAGACTCCAGAGAATTTGCTGTGAGGAGCACATTCCTCGGCAGGATCGTGTAACACGTATGCATGAGATTGACTTCCTGACAGTAAACGTGTATCCTAGCTTTGTGGAAGCCCCAAGAATGTAAACAGAGGCAAGAATGCAAGCTCAGGCCAGGGGAGAGGAATGTTCACAGGAGAATGCTGTCCACTCTGCAGGTTTGCTGGTCTTTCCTGTAGAATAAACATTTGTCCCTCGGTAGGCACAAGAGACTGGTTGCAGACCTTAACTCCTTCCATGGGTACCAAATCCATGAATTCTCAAGCCCCTTATCTAAAATGGCATGGCATTTGCATATGATCCACACACAGCCTCCTATGGTAGTGCCAAGAAAAGAGATAGACAGTACCAGAAGTTATGGAGTCATATGAAGCCATACAAGAATGAAGCCATGTTTCCCGTGTGTGCATTTTCTCATCACACACTTTCTGCTGTGTGACTCCAGATAAGTTACAGAACTTTCCTGAGTTCCAGGCTCTTCTTTAAACTACAGTAAAATAGTCACTTGCTCGTGGGCTGCTATGAAGACTAAGTCGGGTAAGCAGTATCTGGTACATACCTTCAGTTCGTGCCTCGGTTTGGGTTTTTACACCAGGACTCATGTCTTCCCTGAGAGATGCTTCCACTTTCTGTCAGCGGCATCAAACACAGTACTTACCAAACCCAAAGCATTCTTTGAGTTAGAGATGTAGCAGATGTACCATTTTATATGAACTCAAATCGTCCTGAAAGCAGATTAGAAGAGGTTTCGTTTTAGTCTTTAACTGCACACTTTCAGTTGTCACAGCTTATCCATCCCAGAATGGTTGGTCAGTTTTTTTTTTTTTTGAAAATCAAGTTTCTAGTCAGGAATGGTGCCTCCTGTCTGTGATTCCAGCACACAGAAAGCTGAAGCAGGAGGAAGACAGTGAGTTTGGGGCTATACTGTGATGTCTCAAAACAAACAAAATTTCATTGTCCAAGTAAGCAGAATCATATGTATCAGATCACATACTTAAATTATTCTACAATACAGTGGTGATATGTGCCCTAGATCCTTTTCTCATTTCCTTGCAAAAGCACCCTGATGAAAGCTGATTTAAGAGAGAAATATTTTATTTGGCTCACAATTCCAGGGTCTAGCCCATCATTGCAGGAAGTCAAGGCAGCACAAACATGAAGCAGACTCAAGAGCATACCTGCATCCATGCCTAGACCTCAGCCCACTTACTTGGTATTTATACAGTCTGAGACGTAAGCATAGGGAATGGTGCTGCCTGTAGTGGGCTGGATCTTCACACATTATATTTGCATAATCAAGATGATCCCCTCCCCCTAGACATGCCTACAGAGAATCTAATATAGATATTCCCCCTCTGACATTCTCTTTTTAGGTGGTTCCAGTTATGGAAAGTTGGCAATTAAAACTAACCACAGTATATAAAATTTGGTTAATTGGGGCCCAGAACCACTAGCACATTGTGGATTGACACTTAGAGGGAAGACATGGGTTACTTCTGTTCTTTTTTGTCTGTGCAGATCCAAGGCTTCACCATTAAGGGGGCACAGTTTGCTCAGGCCCGAGACTGCAGCTCTTCCTTCTCACCTGCTGTTCTGATTGGCCTGGCCATGTCTCTGATTCTGTTGCTGGTGTTGGCCTATGCTCTGCACATGCTCATCTACCTGCGCTATCTGGATCGTCACTACGAGTTCATTACCTCTCCTGCCCACTTCCCATCTCTGAGAACTCTAGATACAGGGGAGGAGAAGGAACTTCTGGGGAGCCAGGGAGCTGAATGCTACGAGCTACGAAACCAACAGATCTGCAAAATCTATATTTAACAGCACTAGTCTCTGTCTCCTCACCAAGGCCAAACCTTCTCTGAAAGACATTGTTCTCTTTTGTGATGTCTGACTTGTGAATTGTTTGATTAAAAAAGAGAAAAGGAAAAACCTTGTCAATGAGTTTTAGCATGAATTGTCTTCACTAGGTAGGTCTGGGGCAGTGAAAAAGTATCTCAAGGGATCCTTCCACGGTAAGCAGGACTGTTCCTCAAAAGATGCCTTGGACATAATGAAGAAAAAGAGGAAGAAAGGGAGGGTCCTGGCTAGTTTTATGTCAGCTTGGCCCAAGCTATTGTCATTGAGAGGAGGGGACCTCAACTGAGAAAATACCTCCATAAGACTGAGCTGTGGGAAAGAGCATAGAACATTTTTACAATTAGTGGTTGATGGAGAGGGCCCAACCCACGATGGATAGTGCTATCCTGGGCTGGTGGTCCTGGGTTCTATTAGAAAGCAGGCTGAGCAAGCCATGAGGAGCAAGCCAGTAAGCAGCACTCCTCCATGGCCTCTGCATCAGCTCCTGCCTATAGACTTTGGCTCTGCCTGAGTTGCTATCGTGACTTTCTTCAGTGATGAACAGTGATATTGATTTAGAGTCATAAGGCAAATAAACCCTTTCCTCCCCATATTATAGAAACTTTGATAAAGGAGCCAGAGAAGAGGAGAAAAAATTGACAGGAAAAGTTCAGATCTTTGGGGTTTTTTTGAGCACAATTTACTCTTTTCCCCCCAGAAAGTATGTTGCAGCATCATTTTAAAAAGTAGTTTTCTTTATATCTCTTTCTTAGAGCTCTCTCTGGAATGCTGTCTGTCTATGGCAGAGCATTGCACTCTAAGATTTCATGCCAAGGCCTTTGGCATTCAGAAGCAGCACAGCCCATGCTGTATGTAAGGGGTGATAGTCACGTTTGTTTCACCTGGCTGTGGCCCAGGTAGGCCTCACTCATATGCAGCAGACTTCTGTAGACTATCATGCACACCCCTGATGAAGAACGTATGCCATACAAACCCCTCTGCAGGGAAAGCCCTCTAATCCCCATTCGCTGAGAGTATGTCCTAACCCCTTCCTTAGTAGAAATTCTGGAGCCACCACATGAGTTCTTACTACCACGTTCTTCCTCATGGATCCCCCTTTGCAGGTCTTAGAAGATCTGAAGATTGGCTCATTCTCCACCTCTCCAAAGCTGGAGTGTACATTCCTTGTGACAGAGCTGGCAAGCCTAAGAAGGGCATTGCATTTCCCTCTCCTGAGTCTGTGCATGACCGAGGTTTACCAAGAACACCCCTCCACCAGACTTAGAGTGTACCCAAAGTAAAGGTCTCTGGGAGGCTCTGGTGACAGGACTGTTGTCCACCTTAGATAATGAGTCGTGAGTGATGAGCCCTGACATTTCTGATACAACAGTTGGCTGAGCATTTCTTTTGGCTGCATCATTGCTAGCTGAATGAAGGTTGGGGTAACCCTGTCCAAGTCTGAAACATGAAAATACTTCATTTGTTTGGATACTTGGAGTAGATTTGGTAGTCTGGAGCTAAGACTCCCTGTTCATGTAACTGGTTTCACAGAGAGGACTGTATAAAAGAGATGCATAGAAAAAAATGGAAACCTGAGATGATCTATCTATTCTAGTTTGCTTGAAACCAAGAGAATTTCTGTTAATAGTAAAAATGATGAACTCAGACCAGACACTTTAGCAATGTCAGCTGGATTTTCATTGTTGTGGCTTTGATTATTCAATGGTGATACAAAAGCTTTTTAATAGGTTATAAGTACATGAAAACAAGATAGTTTATTGCTCAAATTAGGATGCTTTTGAGAGTGAAAAGAAATGTCAATTAAGTTCCATGATAGAAAACATGAACAGTACCAGGAAAACTGAGGTGTAACATCACCTTAGGTATTGGTGAACTTACTCTACATGCTGGAAATTCTGAGCTAGAGATTTTAAATTAAGAGAGAGGCAGGTAGGCTACCTGCAGGTCTTCACCTTCCCTTCTCCCTCCAAGTCTAGTGCCCTAGTCTCACTCCCAGCTCTGTAGCACACCGCCTGGTAACCCCTCTCCTTAGGCTGCCATCTTCTGCAGGCCACACAGCTGTTCTCCTCCAATCTTTCTTTCCACAACTCATCCTGTCTCCATGGTCCAAAACTCTAGCAGTTATTTTCTGGGAACTCCACAGCCAACCTTGTTAGAGAATCAGATTGGTGTGCTTCACATCTTCTTTCTGCTTCTCTCCTCCAAATCCAATTCCCTAGTCACATTCCTAGCTCTGTAGCAGACTAGCTATTGTGATTTTTCTTCATTCACTCTCTGCCCCACTTCCTAAGCAGATCCTTGTGGAACAATCTGCTTCCCTCTCTCCTGTGGATTTTCTCAACACCCTGCTTCTGACTCTAGCCCATTCTCCTTCTTAAGTGTGAGCTCTCAATAACATGGAACACATTTTATCTGGAACCCCATTCCTCCAGTGACCACACCTATCAGGGTCCCAAAAGAATTATGTACCTGACAACACATGGCTACTATACCCTCCTAAATAAAGAGCAACAAAAATAAAAGAAAACAAACAAATCCCACTCACTCACAAACAAGACCAGATATCAGCATCTAGAATTACAATCATTCCAAGTCTAGATGTGTAAAAACACAATCAATAACAGGTAGGATAACATGTCACCACTGGAGCCCAGCAATCCTACTACCATAGGCCCTGAGAAGTGCAACATAGATGTAGCATGAGCAAGGACTTTAAAATAGCTACATAAATATGATAGATGTCCTTAAAGAGAGAATGAATAAATCCTTTAAAGGAATCTATGAAAACACAAATAGTGGAAGGAAATAAACAAAACATTTCAAGATCTGAAAAGAGAAATAGAATCAATAAAGAAAACTCAAACTGAGGGAAATCTGAAAATGAAAACGTAGGAACTCGAATAGGGACCTTAGAGCAAGCCTCACTAACAGAAATCAAAAATTAAGAGAGAAATTTCAGGCATTGAAAACAGGATAGAAGAAATGGGTACCTCAGTCAAAGACAATTTTAAATCTAAAACAAAACAAAAAACCAGATACAACCCAACAAAACAAAAACAAAACCCCCCCAAACAACAATAACAACCCTCAAAAAACTCTGGATAAAAAATATTCAGGAAATCCGAGATACTATGAAAAGACAAAATCTAAGAATAATAAGAATTGAAGAAGGAGAAGAAGAAACAAAAATCAAAAGGGCACAGAAAATATAGTCAAGAAAATCATAGAAGAAAGATGATTTTACTGCGGAATACTCCTTAAATTATTCCACCTCATAGAATCAGAAGGAGCATTGCCTGATTCATTTTATGAAGCCACATTACCCTAATACTCAAACTACACAAAGACCCAACAAAGAAAGGGAATTACACGTCAATATTTGTTATGAACATAGATGCAAAAGTTCTCAATAAAACACGTGCAAACTGAATCCAAGAACACATCAAAAAGATCACTCACAATAGTTAAGTAAGCTTCATCTCAGAAATGCAGAGATGGATGAACATACATTAGTTGGCAAATGTAATCCTGAAGAGATTCAGGATATAAGGGCCATATGTCACCATGACAAAGACAATTTATAGCAAACCCATAGCCAACATCAACTTAAATGGAAATTTCTCTACAATCAGGAATAAGACAAGGTTGCCACTCTCTTCCTACCTAGTACTTAAAGTCTTGACTAGAGCAATAAGACAACTGAAGGAGATCAAGGAGAAAGGAAGAAGCCAAATTATCTTTATTTGGAGATGATATGATAGTATGCACAAGTGACTCTAAAAATTCCAGTGTGAAACTCTTGATATTCTACAGCTGATAAACACTTTCAGTAAAGCAGCTGGATACAAAATGAAGTTACGGAGTCAGTAATACTCCTCTATATAAGTGATAAATGGATTGAAAAAAGTAAGGAACAACACTTTTCACAATAGCCTCAAATAATATAAAATATCATGGGGTTAATGCTAACCAAAATAGTGAAAGACTTGTATAACTGCAACTTTAAGACATTGAAGAAAGAAATTAAAGGAGATATCAGAGAATGGAGTGATCTCCCATGCTCATGGATTAGTAGGATTAATATAGTGAAAATGACCATGTAATATATAAATTCAATACAATCCTCATCAAAATTCCAACATAATTCTTCATATGTTTGAAAGGACAGTTTTCAGCTTCATATGGAAGCAACAGCAAGAACAACAAATCAGGATAGCTAAGACAATCCTTACTACTACTGCTACTGTAATAATAATCTGCTGTAGGTATCTCCAGTCATGATTTCTAACTGTACTCCAGTGCTATCATAGTAAAAACAGCATGATATTCACACAAAAACAGACATGCTGATCAATGGAGTGTAACTGAAGACCCAGGCATAAATCTACACACTTATGGACATCTAATATTGATAAAGAAACCAGAAATACATACTAAAAACAAAAAAAGAGAGTCAGACAGCTTCTTCAATAAATAGTGCTGGTTAAACTGATGGCTGCATGTGCAAGAATTCAAATAGATTCATACTAATCACTCTACACAAATCTGAACTCCAACTCTATCAAAGATCTCAGCATAATCCCAGATACACTGAACCTGATAGATGAGGAACTGGAAAGTAAACTTGAACACACTGGCAAAAGTGATAATGAACAGAACACCCATATAGCCCAGTCTCTAAGATAAACAATTAACAAATGGAACCTCATGGAACTGAAAAGCTTCTGTATGGCATTGGACACTATCATTTGGACATAACTGTGTCTATGTAATGGCAAAAGATTTTTACCAGTAACACATCTGATGAGGGGTGATATCCAAAATATATTAAGAATTCTAAAAACAGTATATCAAGAAAACAAATAAGCCATTTAAAAATGGGGTACATATCTAAGTGGAGAATTTTCCAAAGAGGAAACTCAAATGGCAAAGAAACAATTAAAGAAATGTTCAACATCCTTAATCACCAGGGAAATGCAAATCATAACTACTTTGAGTTTTCATCTTATACCTGTCAGAATGGACAGCTCATGCTGGCATGGATGTGGAGGAAGGAGA